ATAGGAACTGGTCACGTCGGTGACGCCCCATTCATGCCCATCAATGAAGACGGCGGGGCTTATTCTGATTACAGAGATGCAAAAATGCAACAGAAGTACGTAGCGCAGTGCGCTAAATTGCGTGTTATTTTCGTTTTTGTGCCAAACTCTATCGTAGGAAACCGTTCTAGCCTAGCAGAATGCCCTACTTCTTGAGATCAGCGATTTGGTGCTGTAATGGGTCTCCACCTGTAAAAATTTCAAAGGGAGGTGCGGCGTAGGCTGTGATTGGAGGACACAAAGTGTCAATCCTCGGCTCGCCTCGGCATCATGGCCTCATCACGTCTAGCTATAGGATGGGAAAAATGGAGGATAAGTAATGCCTAATGGGTGTCTAGAAAACGAAGACCGAAGTCCTAAGACCTAACCCTAACCCTAACCCCCCCCGCTACTAACCCCCCTAATGTTAAGATCAGGGTTAAGTCTTAGGTCTTAGGTCGTTGACTTAGGTCTTCGTTTTCTATAGACACCCGATAACTAATCTGTCTATTACTTGTGAGTCGTTAATGGAAGAAGTAAAAATGTTGGAGGATTTCGAAAATGAGTGCCTGCGCAAAATAATAATCACGCAGAAAACGCAGAAAATGCATCGCATCGGCCCAAACTCCACAACAGATGGCGCTCTCGCTCATGGGCTCAATTAATCTACGAGTATCCTGAGTGTACGAAGGTGCACTAGTAGGTCTCAGGGGAGAGATAGTGAATATAGAAATAAGTTGTGGATATAGAAATCAGTTAAACCTAACCCTAACCTAACCCTAACCCTAACCCAAACCCTAACCCTATCTCTAATTCTAAATTAAAACAAAATTAGCCAAAAATAATAAACAATAAAATAATTAGCCAATCAGAGCCGTTTTTATTGGCGCTTAACGCGCCCTCTAGCGGATCACTATCTCTCCCTTGTGCAAAATTTAAGGTGTACTGCATGCAGTTTGGCAGCGGCTAAAGGGCCGGACACACTAGGCGATTAAATCGGGCGATAAAATCGGGCAACAAAATCGCCCGATTCTATCGCGCGAGTCGAGTGGACACACTAGGCGATTAAATTGCCGGTGAATGAAGGCCCGTCTCCACACACGCGGCACGACAAGACACAGCAAAACGCAGCGCCGTTGTGCTGAAAAAAAATTCATTGTGATTTTGCACATTGTGTCTGAGCGCATTGTGTTCACTCTGGTTCAGTGATCAGAAATTATGCATGTGCTTGTTGTCTATTGGCTGATGAATTGTACAATCGGGCGATGTTATCGCCGGCCCCGGACATACTAGGCGATGAAATCGGGCGATGAAATCAGGCGACAAAATTGCCCGATAATATCAAAACGTTTTGATCTATGCGATGAAATCGGGCGATGAAATCGGCGGCGATTGAGTGGACACACTAGGCAATTTCAGGGCGATTTCATCGCCCGATTTAATCGCCCGATTTAATCGCCTAGTGTGTCCGGCCCTTTAGACTGGTACCCGGTCGACAGTTCCACACGCTACACTAACAGCGTCAGTGTAGCGAAGGATACTTGCCGGAGTGAAGGTGGCGAACGGTACCAGTCTAGCATCGGCCGGGCATTTCATTATTTACGAAAAGTAAACACAGTCGGTATAGGAACTGGTCACGTCGGTGACGCCCCATTCATGCCCAGCAACGAAGAAGGCGGGGCTTATTCTGTTTACGGAGATGCGAAAACGTAACAAAAGTTCGTAGCGTATTACGCTAAACGTCTATATGAAACAAGACCTAAAGTCAACGACCTATAGACTAAGACTTAACCCTGATCTTAACATTAGCAGGAGTTAGTAAAGACAAAGTTGTCTAACGAGTAACATAAGTCAAGTAACATTAGGGTAGGGCTTAGGTCTTAGGACTTCCGGTCTTCGTTTCTAAGACACCCATTAGGCATTACTTATCCTCCATTTTTCCCATCCTATAGCTAGAACGTTAGAGGCCATTGATGCCCAGAGGCGAGCCGAGGATTGCATGACACTTTGTGTCCCAATCACAGCCTACGTGTACCTCCCGTCTGAAATTTTACTAGGTCGGTATACCCATCACAGTACCAAATCGCTGGATCTCAAGAACTAGGGCATTCTGCGTATCTCTC